TGTCTGTTGGCCATTTGGATATCTTCCTCTGTGAAAATTCTTTCCAGGTCTTTTGCCCATTTTGTAATTGGGTTATCAGTCTTTTTCTTGTGGAGAAGCAGGAGTATTTTGCAAACTTTTGTTATGAATGGCTGAGATGGTACTGCCAAATATTTGTTTCTGGTCAGTAGGCTTTCTTCTCTCCTTGTTGGAAAAAATTTTCGATGCACACAGGGATTTAATCTTTAGAAGGTTCCATTCATCAATTTTATCCTTTTTCAGATTGTATGTTTTTGGCTGTATCTGGCAGTCTCTTTACACTGTAGAGTAGGCCTTTTAAGCTTGATTTCAGTTTGTATCTTAAGAATTTTGTGGTTTGGGTCTTTATTCCTAGTCTCTGATCCACCTTGAGTTGATTTTTGTGCATAGTGTGAGACATGGATACTGTTTCAGCTTTCTGCAGGTAGCAGTCTAGTTTTGCAAACGCCATTTGTTGAAGAAGTTGTTATTTCCCCATCTGAAAGATTTTACTTCCTTGTTGAATATCAGTTGACCACAGATAAGTGGGTCCATTTCTGGGTTCTCAGTCTGCTCCCATGCTCTCAGTGCCACTCACTGTACCAGTACCATGCTGTTTTGCTTACTACTGCTACGTAGTAGGTTTTGAGGTCAGGGAGTGTTATGCCTCCCACTTCACTTTTGCTTCTCAGAGTGTTTTGCTTATTTTGGGTCTCTTGTCTCTCCCAAGAAACGTGAAAAATAAAGTTGGTATCTGTATTGGGATGGTGTTGAACATGTAGATTGCTTTTGGTAGGATTGTCATTTTCATAATATTGAGTCTTTCTATCTATGAACAGGGAATATTTTCCCATTTTTTTAAGTCTTTTTAATTTTTTTTAAGAGTCATAAAAGTTTTATTATATGAAAGAAATACATGACTTCTGTACATTATTTATAGAACAGAAAGCTATTTACAGCAAGATGGAGGCCTTGGTGGTGGTGCAGGGGATGAGGAAGCAGACGCCTGGAGAGATGTGAGGAGGCGTGAGGAGCCTCCTGTAGCTCAAAGACTGGCAACCTGGCAGTAAGGGGAGAAGCAGGGGGTCTGGTTCTTCCTGAAGGGAGATGCGGTGAGCTTGTAGATGAGACAGCAGAATCCAGTGTCCATGCAGGGCACTGGAAGAGCAAGAAATGTCCTAGAGTTGAACCCAGAGCATTCTCAGGCTGGTCACAGTGTCCAGGTGACTGCTGTGAAAGTCAGTGCCCTTCTCCGCCCCAGGTTCTGCCTGCAGCTGCAGAGGGAGAAGGTCGCTGGAGGTCACAGCTCACTGGAGTGGACAGCAGGCTCCAATTTGTGAGACAGTGCAGAGAAGACCTTGCTGAATTTCTCATAGTGTTGGGCCTGGCTGCTGCTGGCACCCTGGCTGCCCCAGAGGAGCCGCATTTGGAATTCAGTGCTGAACACCTCCAGGAGCTCTGGTCTGGCTTGAAATCCCTGCAGACTGATCTCAGTGTTGGTGTGGTTACAGGCCTCTATGATGCACCACTGTGCAGGCGGCCTCCAGATAGGCCAGCACCACCTCCTCGTTGTGCTCTGTGCTGCCCCAGGGCTCAGATCCCTCTGCTGGGGCTGAGTCACACTCCAACAGTGTGATGAGCGGCAGAACATGAGGAAATGTGGTGTTCTTCAGCAGTGGGCCTTCTTTGCCCTCATTGAGGCTCTTGAGAAATGGCTTGGGCTTCTTCTCGTACAATATGGCGCCCTCTGTATGCTGCTACCTCAGGGTCACCCACTTTTGTTCCAGCCGAGTGGTCTGCATCACCTCCAGAGCGCCCATGACTGCAGCGAAGCTAAACACGTTGCCCATGGTCCCTCGCAGCTCGGCTACTACCTGGATGGTCTTGTGCAGCTCTTTTTTTATTTTCAATTTTATTCTGATTTGTTTACAAAGTTTGAATACATTGTTTTTCACAAAAAAGATCCTTCCCATTTCCTTTACCGCACCCACCCATTGAATTGTGCAACTCTATGATTAACACTCTACCTGCACCATTCCTCATTCTTCTATTTCCACCCTCCCCACCTTGGATCCCAGTACTCATTCTATAATAATGGTTTTATACAGTATTTGTCCTGTGGTACTGAGTTAGTTCACTAAGCACAATGCTCTCCAGTTTCTTTAGTCCTTTCATTGTGTCTTACAGAAATGCCCTGCAGTTTTCTTAGTTAGGTTCACTCACAAGTACCTCAATTTGTTGTTGGCTATTGTTAATGGTATTGCTTCTTGGTTTCCTTCCCTGATTCTCTTTGTTACTGTAGAGGAATCCCACTGATTTTTGGATACTGATCTTGTATCTTGCCACTCTACTAAACTGGCCTATGTGCTTTCTGTGTACACTATCACATTATCTGCATATAGTGACAGTTTAACCATCTCTTTGCCAATCTGGATGCCTTTTATTTCCTTCTCTTGTTGTATTGCCCTAGCAAACACTTTCAACACAATACTGAATAGAAGTGGTAACAGTGGGCATCCCTGCCATAGACTATTCTTAAAGGCAGTATTATAGAAAATATAATAAAACTTAGAAAAGAGTCATTCAACATTCTGACAGCAAGAATGCCTCCTCTAAAATAATTTTATTTTTAGTTACTCAACCACAAAAATCTGGTTTGAGGGTCAGATCTATTATTTTTACCTAAGGGATCTGAAACAAGACCCTTGCCTTTTGAACCTCTTCTTGTTTTTCAAATGGATGAAATAATTTAAAATTCAACCAAAAACCACTTCACTAGTCTCTCACGTCTAAAACACTTTATTAAGCGTGCTTTTGGAATGACAATATTCACCTTGAGTGGTTACAATTAGGATTCAAAAAATACTTTTTATAATTTTATTTTCAAGTGTATCTTACATGAAGTAGAAACTTAAAACCAATTAATCAATTTAGTGTCATTATCCAAATGTTTAGAATAAAGTACTCAAAGAATATACTGCTGAGGTAGAATTTACAGAACTGTGTCATAACCAATGTGTGCTATTTTAGAGTCATGAAACTATATAAATTATAGAAGGAACCCTGCTGGTGAAATGGTAAGCTTTTGGCTGCAAACAAAAGAGTAGTTGAAACTCACCAGGGGCTCCATGGGAGACAGTTGGCAATATACTTCCATTAAGATTTACAGTCTTAGAAACTCTGTGAGGTAGTTCTACTTAGTACTACAGGGTGATTACGATTTTGAATCAACTTTGTTGGTTATATATATATATATTTATATATATGTACCAATTGTTGCTCAGTTGGTTCTGACTCACAGCAATAATGACTTTGGGTTTCCAAAACTGTAACTCATCTTTCTCTCATGGAGTGACTGAGAGATTTGAAGTTCCGACCTTTTGATTAGCAGCGCAATACTATGCAATACTCCACCAGAGTGTCTTTTATGTATCGCTCACTACTGTCATCAGCTTCTCTGTCAGGTTTGCCAAGGCTGTAAATCTTAAAGACAGGAGACTTCCCATCTTTCTCTAAGGGTGCTGCTGGTACATTAAAACCAAATGCTAGAGATACATAGCCAGCAGGCTCTCTCTATGTATGTGTGCATATATATACATATATAGTGTTTTATATATATATACATATATAGTGTTTTTTATATATATACACACACACACACACATATATGTATATGCATATATATGTATATGCATTTATATATATATATTATATATGTATGTATATGCATTTATATATGAAGCAGGAGTGGCATCCACTTCCTAAACAACACGTCTCCAGAAACTATGAACTTTGATAAATGTCGATAGTTGCAGAGGGCTTCAAGCCTTTCGCTCATAGGGTTGCTGAGTCGAGATATATATTATGTATATGTCTGTGTGTATACGTGTGTGTGTGTATGTGTATGTGTGTGTGTGTGTATATGTATATATACATACACACCTCCTGACATGATTAGGTTCCAAAGACTCAGTGCTATGTTAAAATGGAGTATAACCACATCACGTCACAAATAAAGCATGACCACAACATTGAATCACTGCCAAATTACATAACTGCATATCTGACCAAAGATAACATTACATATCTGCCTACTCACTGTGAATTATGACACAGTGAGGCTGACATAAAATCTTAACCAACACAGTGAAGTTCACATTTGCCTACCATCTCAGTGTTTATTACTGCTAGGTACGTATCATTAATGTGCAGTCAGCTTTTTAATTGTTGTTACAAATGCAAAATACTGAATTAGAAGATATGCGGTAAGCGGAATAATGGAATATTCAGTAAGTGAGGAGTTTCTGTGTACTGTTGAGTCAGAAATGACTTATAGCTGACCCTCCAGTGAGTTTTTTAGAGGCAGTACACTGCATGTGAGGAGACTGCCCATCTTTTCCTGTGGAGCTGCTGATGGATTTGAACCACATGCCTTGGGATTGCACTACAGCTTTTTACCACTCAGTATATATATCGAACAATTATCCCTGTTATCACCAACAAATGGGAATGAATAGAGAATAAAGGTCAAGACTGAGGTGGTTGAAAGCTTCTGAAGTACTGGAATTACGCAATCTCATTATGATGGTGACAAAAAAAAAATAACAAGGTACATAAAAATCATAATAATTACTTACCTGCAGGTAGAAGTACTAAAGCTTACTACCACATAAACCATTGGTATGGTTCAGATAGAAATAACACATGATCATTTTGGACATAAACTGCAGAGCTAGATACTTTTACGTCTTGAGGGATCCAGAAGGAAGTGAAAACTGTGTAATAACCTGGGACTTGTAAAAAATAAAATACTGCTTTAAAGTTCTAACAGAAAGAAATTGATCTCAAAGCATCAGTATTATTATTCTTTTTCAACTCTTACATACTATAAGCGTTCATCAATAGTGATTTGTTTTTCCAGTAGTCTCTAAATACAGCTTGCAATAAAGAGTGTTGATATGAAAAGGAATACTTCCAGCAAACCATTTGAAACGTCCACTCACCTCAGCAGGGAGCATCTGTTGGGTATTGTATAAAGACCGGCAGATTTTCAAGACCTCATTTCCCAGTCTTTCCTTGTTCTCTGCTGTACATTTGGCTAACATCACTGTAACAAGTTTTACCCATGGGTTGTTGCTTATGCTGGTTCTAAAGTGGGGAAAAAGTTGTAATATCAATGAATGAAAATAAAAGAGATCTCATTTTTAGAAGTAAAATGGTTATGACAAATTCCAATCAGAATCTAGCTGGTTTCTTTCATGTTTATCTTGTTTAAAAGATAACCAAAGGGGGAAAAGATCCACTTGCTGTGGTATCACCAAGTGCCCAAGAAACATGAGGAAAACAGGAAGAAGTTCAAAGAGATAAGCTTTGAAGTTAGAGAGACTTAGGCTTAACTTCTGATCCCTTAATTTTTATTTTGATGATTCACGAAAGTTACCTAAACAATCTCAGCCTGGCTGTAGAGTTCCAGAGAAAACACTCAACCTTTCTAAGCCTCAGTTTTCTCATTTATGAAAAGGAGGTCTAATATTTTCTTTGCAGGATTATTTACTTAATGAATGATGTACGTAACTGTGATAGAGTACTCTTACCAGATGGCACTTTTTACTATTTAATGCATAAATATTGGCTCTTGCTGATCAGATCATTATTAGCATAATAATGGGGCCTGAACAGGACTAAATTACCAAAAAAGGTAGTGTATTTCAGAGGTCAGCTTGGGGGACAGCACAGAGAAAGCAAATGACAAGCAACAGGGAGATCATTCTTCCTGATTCATATTGGTTTTCTATTTCATAGCATGAAAGTATAGAAGAATGCCTTTTCTTTTCCTTCTCTAAATGCCACTACCTCATGTTTCATTAAAATACTGCAATTTGCAATTCAACAGACAAGTTAAAGACAAATTCATTCCATGGTTTCATGAACAGAATAATGATTTTATACAATTTTTGCTATTTATTAAGAGTCTGTCATCTCATTAACACAGCATTAGATTCCAGATAATGCAAACCTAAAACATTTCAATTCCTTGCCCCTAAGAAAAATTGCAAGTGCTCCATGATAACAGGACTAAGAATACTGACCTTTCGCAAAGTTTTTGTAGCTCAGCTTATTATAATAATTTGTAAGGACAAAACTACTGCTTATTTCAAGGTACAGAGCTCTCTGCAAACTGTCTGGCTGACTGGGGAATGTTCTTGTACGCAAGGACTAACCGTCAGCTTTGCTCCTTCAAAGTCTGACATCCTCTCTCCTGGGTTTTCCAAGTAATAAGCTGTCTGTCTCATTGTAGGAGAAACACTGTCTACCATCAGAAAAATCACCAGAGGGCAAATGGCTTAAATAACAAATTACAAAAATTTGTTTTCATCAGCTAATAGTAATGTTGTTGCTATGGGTCATCAAGCTGGCACCGACAAACAGCTGAACCTCCAGCTCATTCTCAGAGGCTGTAAATCACACATGATGAGGCTGACTGCCCACCTTTGTTCTGCAGTGCAACTCCTTACCACAGACCATCAGAGCTCCCTGTTGTTGTGTGTTGCTGAGCTGACTGTGACTCAGAGTGACCCTATGAATATTGTCTCTGAATATTGTCCTATCCTCAGCCAATGTCACCATCTCTGACATATTTGCCTTACTGCCCCACTCACTATGCCAATCCATCTCATCTAGGGTCTTCCTCTCCTGCGCTGACCCTCTACTCTTCCAAGCATGATGTTTTTCTCCAAGGACTGGCCCCTCCTGACAACATGTCCAAAGTATGTAACATAGAGCTTCAAAGTCCTGGTCCCTAAGGAGCAACTTGGTTTCACTCTGTCTAGAACAAATCTGTTTATTCTCTTGGCAGTTTATGATATGCTTGATACTTTTCTTAAGCACCACAACTTAAAAGGGATCAATTCTTCTTCTGTCATCCTTAGTCACTGTCTAGCTCTCAGATGCACAGCAAACAACTGAGAAGACCATGGCCTGGATCAGGTACACCTCAGTCTGTAGACTAGTATCATTACTCCTTAGCTCTCTGGAGAGGTCCCTGACAGCAGATTCTTCCCAATGCAACTTGTCTTTTGATTACCTCACTGCTGCTACCATGGTTGTTGATTGTGGATCTGAGTAAGATGAAATCATTAACAACTTCATCTTTTTCTCCATCTAACATGATCCCCCCTGTTGGCCTGGCAGTGGGGATTTTTGTTTTCTTGATGTTGAGATGCAATACATATTGCAGACTGCAGTCCTTGATCTTTTGCAGAAAGTGCTTCAAATTCTCATTAATTTTGGCAAGAACAGTTGTGTCACCTGAATAATACAGGCTATCGATGAGTCTTCCTCCAATCCTGATGTGACATTCTTCAAGTCCAGCCTCTGAAATTATTTGTTCAGCATAAAGATTGAAGAGGTATGGAGAAAGACCAACACACTCCTTTCCTGATTTTCCACCATGTAGTGTTCCATAGCTCTGTTCACACTACAGCTTCTTAGTCTAGGTTTAGGTTCTGTATGAATGTAATGAAGTGCTCTGAGATTCCCATTCTTCTCAATGTCAAATGCCTTCGTATAGTTGATAAAACACAAATAAGATATTCCTCTAGTACTCTCTGCTTTTATCCAAGATCCATCTGACATTAGCAATGATTTCCTCACTGCCTCTTCAAACCCAGCTGGTATTTCTAGCAGTTTTCTGTTGCCATAGTAGATTTTAAATAATGTTCAAGATTTTGCTTGCATATGATATTAGAAATATTGTTTGATACTTTCCACATTCTGTTAGATCACCATTGTTTTGAACAGGAATAAATAGGGCTCTCTTCCAGTCAGTCAGGCGGCTGTCCTCCAGATTTCTTGGCATAGCCTAACAAGCCCATCTAGGCCTATGCCTGTTGAAGTATGTCACTTAGTATTCCATCAATTATTTTTTGTCATTTTTTTTAGAGCCGCTGTAACTTCTTCCTTTATTCACATTGGTTCTTGATCACATGCTATATGACTTCTTTTGTTACAAATGGTTTAAAAAGTACTTTTGAGAAAATCCCATCATACATTCTCTTATCATGAGCACCAATATGAGCTGGGAAGCTGTAAGACAAAACAACTTTAAGGTCTTTTGTTGTTGTTGGTTAGCTGTCATCTAGTTGACTATAACTCGTAGGATTACTGTGAACAAGAAGATCTGCACCTTGCCTTCATAGTCTCAGGTAGAGGATAAATGAATTATAAGAGGAGCTGAGTAAATTAGAAAAATGCATGAAATTTTGACTAGCAATTAAATGCACTGCCTATTAATTCCAAAGTAGGTGGTCAAATCCACCAGCTGGTCCCCAGAAGGAAGATGGCAGTCTCCTATTGTTCAATTTACAGACTCTGAAAACCCACTTGGATGGTCAGCTATGAGTTGGTCCCAACCCAAAGGCAGTGACAGAGAGAAGAGAATAAAAATAATAATAATCTGAAGAGTTAAGATTTCCCCCCCCCTACATATAATCTATTTTTTAAATTTTGTTTCTCTGACATGAACATATTTTACTATGAGAAAGGGAGTGATTTTAAATGGTGTTTCACATTATCTTCATTTAGAAGTTTCTTTAAAACAGATTCCTGGGTTACACTACTGAGACTTCTGTTCAGAAAGTCCAGGGACCTGCTTCTAACTAGCAGCCCTAGCACCTGAGGGAGCTATTCCAGGAGTGCTGGGAACTGTATGCTGTCACAGTAAAACTTACGTTTTATGACGTGAGGAGCTATAATACAGAGTTCTAAACAATGAAAGGATGAATCTGTTCTTTCTAAAAGTAAATGTCAGCATGTCACTCATGCCAAAGAAAATAGAGATCTAAGAAAAGACTTCCCCCCTCCCTTATAAACACTATTAAAAAACAAAAGTGAACAAAACACTACTTTCTTTAGTTCGTCTCAGCAATTCCTGTCACATCCCAGTGTTAAAGCGTCTTTTTCAGATGTTCTTTAGCAGTGCTAAATTGCTCACAGAACAATTTGTTTTCAGGCAGCATCCTTCCAAACATCTGAGGTGTGGAGAAGCACACTTGCCCAAGGGAGGAGTCAGCTTGTCGAGTGCAGAACAAGACCAGTCCTGGAGCAAGTGGCTATCTGGAACAGAGGGTCTGGCACTCATCATTTTTTGCCAGCACGAAGCAAGAGTTCACGATAGCCAGCATATGTGCTTGGAGGAAATCTGGCTACCTCGTCCAAAGGATACAGTAAGTTATGTAGCTGACAGCATCAAAAGTGGTGTGAAAACCCCATGTAGCTATGAGTGGCAGCTGCAAGCTCAGCATGAAGGAAGGAGGAAACAACATGGGTCGTGAAGGCAGACAGAAGTTGGTTAGAATTCTGCCTCCTTCACTTATTAGCTGTGTGATGCCTGAAGCTACTTAACTTCTACGCTTCAATACCCTTATCTGTAATACTAGGATAACATTGCCTTCCCGTGTAGATTTGCTGTGAGAATTATAGATAACACATGTAAATTATACACAACATTTTAGCATTCCCAAAATATGTTAACTATTCAGTTATTCCAAACAAATTTTCCCATTAGTATTGTATGTTAAAAGGTAGTCCACTTTTTTTTTCTGTTGAAAATATGAAGACATTCTTGTTTTGTTGACATCATAAATAGAAGATAATTATCAAGTATTATCTAAGCCCTGCGAATAAAATATTTAGGTTGAGGAGGAAGGAGAGTGAACAGACAATGCTGTGTTTAAAAAACAAGCAAATACTGACTATATCCTGAAAGTACTACATTTTTAGAAAAAAAGCTCAGACAAAGGAGCGCTAACGCAGCTCACTTTTTTTTTTTATCTCGCTTTTTATTAATACTTACACATATTCACTTCTCATAGGTGGCCAAGCTTGCAAAAGTAAAACCAAGTGCTGAAAGTCAGTCTCATGGTGACTGCATCCGAGGAGCTCCATAAAGAGAGAGTAGCGGCTCTCGTCATTTTCAATGTTGGTTACATCGATCTGTAAGTGGAAATGCACACTTGAAATGGTAGCAAAGTCTACTGAATTGATTTACAGAGGAACTCAAATTTGATTATGTTGATTTGTTGTTGTTGGGTGCTGCTGAGCTGACTAAGACTCACTGCGGATCTATGAACCACGGGCAGAGAGCTTGCCCAACGCTGTGGTCCCCTCAGTGTGTCTGCCATGTGCAAGCCCATTATTCTGATTAAACATTCTTACCCGAGGAATTTTTACAATGGGCAAGGAAACATAAAATCCAAGCCAAACATTTTTAAAACCCCTTCAACACTTTATGTCCTACCCTATTTAAAATATTTATGTTCAAAGCAGTTTAAAGCAATAAAGTCACAGGAATATTCTTAATATTATTGTTCTAAAACATTTAAACAAGTAGATTTCCAAAGAACTGCAGTTTACTAGCCCTTAGCATTTGTTACATTAAAATATTTAATGCTTCTATTTAAAATTGGAATATTTCACTACGAACATTAGATGGATATTTTAAAGCTTAAATGACCCTAAGTGCATGTTTAATTTTATTTCTTGTATCATGACTTAACTTTGCATGATGTCTACAAAATTTTTCTAATTATTAATAGAAGATTTTATTAAACTCTATTTGTCATATTTTTTTGTTCTAAACAAAAAAGAAAGAAGAACACCTTCACGCCTATCTCTGTAAAGGAGTTGTGCTTTCAACCCAAAGCGATCAGTTTAATCCACAAGTGTTCTACTGGCTGTTTCTCAGGCAACGTCCTGCCTTACAATTGGCAGCCTCTGAAAACCCCGTAAAGAATCAGCTATGACTCAGTTCTGACTCAGCTACATAAAACAACATTCTTTAATGTGAAAAAAAGGTTCTATCGAATACAGAAAGCACTCATTTCCCATCTCCCCCGCCCCCACTCAGTAAGTGAATGATGTTACTTTTACACATGGCAATCCTTAAAATGAATATCTTCAACAACTCTGTGGATGAAAATGCTTCTACTAGGTTAAAATGTGATTTTCCATATAAAAGTAATCTTTCTCAATTCCTTCATCAGGCGTCTAAGACTGTAAATCTTTCCAGGAGGAGACTATCCATTTTACATCTGATGTCTGATGTGTAACTTGTTGTTGAGTACCATCAGAACTGACCCACAGCTGACCCTCCAGCGGGTGTTTGGAGGCAGTTAATCAATCATAGGAGACTACTCATCCTTCCCCCACAGAGCAGCTGAACCAAGTGCCTTTAGGATTGCAGTGCAGCTTCTTGCCACTAGGCCACCAGAGCTCCCTGAGGCGTAAACAGATCTGAATTGTGAACCTTTAAATTTGCGGCCCAGCATATTAATCCCATGTCACCAGGGCTACAAATCCACAAGACAGTAACAGACTGGAAGCTTCTCCTGACCCACATAGTTGCAGGGATTTTAAAACCCACAGGTAAGGCAGCAAGGTGCTAGCCCACATCTCAGAAACTGGAGGATAGAGAATTTGAGGCAAATGCAAGGTCAAACATCGGATAGAAGGAACATGTTATCATTAAACCATACATACTGGAAAGAAAGCCACATCCCCAATGGAAACTTCCTTTCAACTGATTTCAGATTTCAGAATGGAGGATGACAAACCAAAGACAATCAAGGCCTAGCCAAGGTGACAGATAACTTTAACCATCACAGCTACTCAACAAATATTAAAAGTAATAGACAAGGCAGACAATAACTGGCTCTCCAAGGAATCACACTGAATGAGAAAGGCTAATCACAAAAATGTGATTTCATTTCTATGAGATATATCTATGAGCCAATGGGCATTCTATCTGCACATGTCAGAGATCATGAGGCTGGTGCAGGGCGGCTTAAGGGTCTGCTCTGTCTTCCACAGGGTCACTATGAGGTGGGCTTGACTTGACGGCACCTCAGAGCAACAATAATTGATGTAACATTTTGAAATGATACCATTTTAGAAATAAAGGACAAATTAGTGAATGACAGAGATTAGGGACAGAGTGGGAAGAAAATGAGTCTGAATGGAAAAGGGAAGTAGGTATGGTGATCGGAATGTTTAGTATTTTGACCATGGTGGTGGACACTCTGCCAGAACCTACTCTGATGATACAAACACACGAATGCCTAAAGGTGATACTGGGAAATGAAATAAAATCAGTGGCGTGTATCAATGTCAATATTTTGGTGTGCTCTACCACATTTGTAGAAAAATGTTACCTTTATAAATTTCTGAGTTGTAGTGCTGGAGAATGCTGTTGAACATAATATGAACTGCCAAGAGAACAAACAGGTCTGTCCTGGAGAGGATGAAATAAAGCTGCTCCTTGGAGGCAAGGATTTTTAATCTCCATCTCATATATTCTGGGCACGTGGCAAGGAGGGACCGGTCCTTAGAGAAGGACCTCATGCTCAGAAGGGTGGAGAGACAGTGCAGGAGAGGAAAACCCCGGATGAGAACGATTGACTCAGTGACTCGGGTAGGTGTGTAGGAGACAGTGAGACTGACTCAGGATAGAGTATGGATCAGAGATTTTGTACATACGATAGCTTTGAGTCATGGGCGACCTGATGACACATAACAGCAGAAACATACATTTGTGGAAAATGTTAGCACTGGGGGAAGCTAAAAAGCACAAGGATTTCTCTGCATTATTTCTTAAAACTCTGTGTGTGTGTGTGTGTGTGTATATATATATATATATATATTAAATTTCAAAAAATAAAAACCAAAACCTTTTACTGCTAAGTGCATTGTGCAAGTAATAAGAGGAAATATGACAAGAGAGAAATTACCTATTTAAACAAAAAGCAGAAAATAAGCTAAGTAATGCTTTTTAAAAAATAGATACGTTTAAAGGTTATATTTTGAGGAGGAAAACAAGGTTAACTATAATATAGCAACTTTTCTAAGCTTTGCTCCTTACTTGTTATGCAACCTATATACAATTTACCTTGTCCCAGTTTACTTACCTGTAAGATGCACTAACAGCATCTACCATATTAGGCTGTATTCATTTACTTTCACAAATATTTACTAATTATCTACATTTTGTACTGGCAATATAATGGTCAGAAAGTTGATCATTTAACTCTTGAGAATTCAACAAGACAAAGCCTGACATATTAGATATATAATTAATAGGGTGTATTAGTATTTTTATTAATCCCTGGTGAGACCTATTGCCTGAGGATGCTTTTAATTCTATCATAAATTATTTACTCGGTTGTAACAACTCAATGCCCAGGAAGGAGCCACCGTTGAATTGGCTTTGCAACTCCCTATGGACGACACCACCAGGGCACGCTAACACTTACTGAGAACACACTACATGCTTAAACTGAAGACAGACATGGAGACACATTTTCTGAGGTCAGCTCATGAGAAGCCTACAATACGGTAAATATTCTTCTAAATGATTATCCATTAACTGCTGCATAAACTCAAGGTCCAGGAAAGAAGGCCAATTCTCTCAAAGCCTTTGTCAAGATTTTCAAAAGAAGCCATATATCAAATAGGCCCTAAAGGTTTGTTTTTTTTAAACAAACATTTTATTTTTAAAAAGTTTACAGAATACTCTGCAGCATGCATCAACAATAATTCTGAAACTGACTACCTAACTTGGGAGGGACTGGAAAGCATTGCGCTAAGTGAACTAACTCAGTCTCACAAAAAAAAAAAATACTGCATAAGACCGTTATTGGTCTTCTAAGAACTTGATTAGACATAACGCAGAATGGAAGCCTAAGAAGGGCTTTGGTTTTGGTTTTGCTTGTTTTTTTAGATGGTTTTTTTTTTTAATTGGTTTGCATACAAAATTCATACACATTGTTTTTCCCACTTTCTTTCATTCAAATTGTGTTTCATACAATTATTCCCATACATTGTATTTCATTAAGTTACTCACCATAGCTCTATGTACACCATTATACCACATTTCTAGGTCCCTGCTAGATCTTTCCCATTTCCTTCAGCCCCTCCCTTCACTGGCCAAATTCTACAAACCGAAGACTTTCTCTGTATTCATCCTCAGCTCCCCGCCACCTTCATAAACATTTTACTAGTAATGATTCTATTTTGACACTAATGGTCTTATGCAGTACTTGTCCTTGTGAGATTGAGTTCACTCAGCACAATCTTTTCCAGTTTCTCCCATGTTATCTTAAAGTAATATAGATGTCATTCCTTTTTTAAATTATTTTTTTAATTATTATTATTATTAATGTCAATGAACATCTACAGAGATTTTGGAATTCCATTCATTCATTGTTGCACTTTTCTCCCCACCCACTCACCCCCACCCCCACCCGCACCCTAAAGGTTTCATAGAATCCTTTCTTGCTGAACTCTGTGGGCAGAATGTCAAACACTGTCTAATAAAACAGTGCTTCTCAAAAGTGGGTTGCAGACTCCAAGAAGTTTCTAAGAGTCTTTTTAGGTGTTCTCAGGAATAAAATTATGTCTCAACAAATACTAGGGTGCTATTTGTCATTGGAAGCTAGGATTTTGAAGCTCTGTCTCACATACTTTGGGAATGTGACCAGGAGAGACCATTCCTAGGAGAAGGACATCATGCTCTCAAGAGCAGAGGGCCAGTGCAGGATGAATTGATACAGTAATTAGGGTAATCAGGGTTTGTGTGTCAGAGTTAGTGAGACTGGCTCAGGAGAGGGCAGGGTTCTGAGCTGCCGTACATAGGGTCACAATGGGTCGCAGACAACTCGATGGTACATAACAACACAACAAGATAACACAACACAAAATTTGCACTGACGATGCCTTGCTTTGGTAGATAAAACTGTGGGCTGGCAGCGGCACTAAACGGTGGGAGTGATAATGTATTCATCACAGGTTTTGTGTCTTTCAACAATCAGTTTCACTTAGGACTGTTTCTGATGCAGCAGTAAAGTTATTAATTGTACTCATTAATTTTAACTTTATTAAAAATGATTTAATAATAAAAAGAACATGTTTTTAATATTCTGAGATGAAATGAGAAATAA